GGGTAGATTTAGTGAAGGGAAAATAAAATAAAAAATGAACGAAGATTGTAGGGGTGAGGTTGCTTCACGGCCCATGCAAGAGTACTCAATGCCAAGTGAAGGTGGCTGGTTGGCCCTTCCCTTGCATGACCCCCTGTGTGGTCCGGGGCAGGCTTTTTCAGTTCTGCAGATCTGCATGTCTCTGTCTTTAAAAACTAGTGGACTAGGTAACCCTTAAGAGTCCTGCTGGTCACAACTTCTAACAACTCTGTAATTTGCCAGTGAAAAATATGAAAGGTTATTACATTACCTAAGAAAATGCACAGTCGATGCTACAGGATAAAATGAACGGTTGTGGGAAGTCTGGAAGGGGCTATGATACTCTTGTGAGCATAAAAGGCCCATTGAAGATGATTGCTTAGCTTATGTGTGAATGCAAACAAATACTGGCCAGACAACACAGAGCCCGAGGAAGCCCGGTAGGCAGAGGCCTGCCTCTCAGGGTCTGGATCCCACTGCGCATCCACGACGTGAGCCTAAAGAAGGCCAAGGGCGGAATGGGAAAAGATAGTTGCAAATGACATATCAGATAAAGGGTTAATATCCAGAATCTATAAGGAACTCACCAAACTACACGCCCGAAAAACAAACAACCCAGTGAAGAAATGGGCAGAAGACATGAACAGACACTTCTCCAAAGAGCACATCCAGATGGCCAACAGACACATGAAACGATGCTCAGCATCCCTCCTCATCAGGGAAATACAAATCAAAACCACACTGAGATACCACCTCACGCCAGTCAGAGTGGCTAAAATGAGCAAATCAGAGAACTCTAGATGCTGGCGAGGATGTGGAGAAACGGGCACCCTCCTACACTGTTGGTGGGAATGTAAATGGGTACAGCCCCTCTGGAAAACAGTGTGGAGGTTCCTCAGGAAACTAACAATAGAACTCCCTTATGACCCAGCAATAGCACTGCTAGGAATTTACCCAAGGGATACAGAAATGCTGAGGCATAGGAGCACATGTACCCCAATGTTCATAGCAGCACTCTCCACAATAGCTAAAACATGGAAAGAGCCTAAGTGTCCATCAACAGATGAATGGATCAAGAAGATGTGGTTTATCTATACCATGGAATACTACATGGCAATGAGAAACAATGAAATCTGGCCATGTGTAGCAACATGGATGGACCTTGAGGGTGTTATGCTGAGCGAAATAAGTCAGGCAGAGAAGGACAAATATCATATGTTTGCACGTATAGGAGGATTAGGAGGAACTTGACGGAGGAACAAGGGGGAGAAGAAGGGCGGAAATGGTGGGGGAAAGGGAGAGAGGCAAACCATGAGAGACTCTTGAATGCTGACAAAAACTGAGGACTGATGGATGTGGGGGGGAGGGGGGGATGGGCATGGAGGAGGGCACTTTGGGGATGAGCACTGAGTGTTATGTAGAAACTAATTTGACAATAAACTATTTGTAAAAAAAAAAAAAAAAAAAAAAAAAAAGAAGGCCAAGGGATGAGCCAGACTGGGGGTGCCCTGACTAGCGTATTCTCCACCACAGCCGTCAGCTACCTTTCATTAGGTCCTTCTTCACTGCTTCCTAAAACATGTCTTCGGAGAAAGCATTCTGGCTTCAAGATAGTTTTATCCATGTTAGTGTTTTACGTTCGAGAGAAAGCAGCTTGTGCAGCACAGGCCCTAGAAGTGGTCAGGGAAAGGAAAGGAAAGCATGCGTGCAAAAAAAGGTGTCGCAGAAGCACAGCACCTTGGAGTTTGACCTGAGTTCAGTTGAGTCTTTTCACGCATAAAAGAGGAAACTGTATTAATGGCACCATAGAATGCTCCAGGCTTTCGTGTCGAAGTGAGGCTATAAAAGGTAGATCTGAGCACCAAACTGGAGATTCCTCACAACCACGCAGTTCTCCAGACACCAGCTGGGATCCCACAATTTAACTCAGTTGGGGCACTACCTGGAAATAGCTCAGATCAAGGGCTGGGTTCCCTAAGATACCATCCAGCTAGATGCCGGTCTCAAGCCCAGGTTGTTCCTGTGCTTCTGACATAAATGAGAGATTGTAACAGCCCTCTCCTTGGGTTCTGGTCATTTGCAGATTGGCTACCAGACCCCAGAGAGACATCTTACCTACTAGATTGCCCATTTATTACAAAAGACCGTGATTCAGCAATAGCCAGGTGGAAGAGATGTGGAGCGCAAGGCTGTGGGGGAGGGGCAAGGAAGTGCCAGCTCTCTCCCAGCACCTGCTTTCCCCAAATCTCCACTTGTTTGCCATCTGGGGAGCTCCCCGACCATGTAGGGTTTTTATGGAGGCTTCATTACATAGGCAGGATTGAGTCAATTATTGGCCGCTGGGGATGGACCTCAGTCTCCAGCCCCTCTCCCCTCCCTGGACATCTGGGGGCAGGACTGAAAGTTCCAGCCCCCTCGTGCTGCTCCACACTGGGGCATCAGCCCCCATCCTCAGGGGAAGTCCAAAAGTCAGCTCATTAACTTCACAAAAGACACATTGTTGGCTCTCAACACTTAGTAAATTCTCAGTCTCAGGAGCTCTGTGCCAGGATGGGGTGAAAACCAAATATATATTTCTTATTAAAAATCACAGTCTCAGGCTAGAACCTTAAATTCTTAGAAAGCCACAGAAAGTCAAGCAGGGCTGCATGGGTTGAAACCTTGGCTCCACAGTGGATTTCCTGAGAAGAAATGAGCCTCAACATCACTGTGGAAAGTCCTGGGTTCTTGATTAACCTTGGGGCTCAGGCAGCCAGTTTGATCGGGAAGCACTACTTGACAAAGGAGAAGTGTCAGTTAGGAATCCCAGATGTGGATGCCTTTCTTTGGGTGATGAGGGCTGGAGCAGGGCTCTAATTGTTACCTCCGCTTGGTATAGACTGCCTGAGTTCCAGTGCCTTTGACTTCCCCAGGTTTGAGCTTGGGTCTGCTGCAAGGGCTGTCTGTTACTCCAGAGTCTCTGTGAAGACCCAGAGGCCTTCTCAGTGAAGCTCCAATCTCTTGCCTTTCTCTATGGAATAATAGATTTATTAATATATTATGTAGAAAATTTCCCTCTGGCCCCATGAAATTTCTGAAATCATCCTTTAAAAGGACAGGAACATTATCTTCCAAAGGTAATGTATGTGTTAAGTATTTACTAATAAGAAGAAAAAGAATCAAAAACTAATGCTTCAAGTGGAAGGCAACTTACATGGTTTCTCCCTCAACCTCATAAGTTATTACAGGTGTCATCCCCATTTCCCAGATGAAGAAACTGAGTCTCAGGAAGGTTAACCAACCAGACCTTCAAGTAGGGGCTGAACAGAAACTCTTGATGAATTACTGTTTGGCTGCGGTGCCCAGGCACCTTTATTCACAACACATGGCATATTTCTTTCAAAAGCTATTTATTTTGAGAGAGAGAGAGAGCATGTGGGAGGGGCAGAAAGGAGGGCGGGGGGAGAGAATCCCAAGCCAGCCCTCAAGCTGTCAGCACAGAACCCAACTCCTGGCTCAATCTCCGGAACCGTGAGAACATGACCTGAGCTGAAATCAAGAGTCGGACGTTTAACCGACTGAGCCACCCAGGCGTCCCACACACAGCTTATTTTTATTGTTTATATGAAATATCAATTGTGAGTTTGGAAATCCAAATGTTACCTCCAGTTAAAACTGATTCTTTTTTTTTCTAGCCGACTCCTGTGAGGTACAAAGTTAGAGACATGACTGTCCCCACGGCAATGTGGACAGGGGGTCAGGACTGGCTTTCAAATCCAGAGGACGTGAAAACACTGCTCTCTGAGGTGACCAATCTCATCTACCATAAGAACATTCCCGAATGGGCACACGTGGACTTCATCTGGGGCTTGGACGCTCCTCACCGCATGTACAATGAAATCATACATCTGATGAAGCAGGAGGAAACCAGCTTTTCCCAGGGAATGTGTGGTGTCCAATTGTGAAGCCGCAGATACTGATGAGTCTTAGGAGAAGCCTCATGGAACAGGGGACCCTTAAATGGAGCATTTTAAAAATTTCCAGAATTGAAAACCCACTGTATCAGTAGAAGGAGGGTGGAGAGGAGAGGACAGAGAAATAGTACATATTCCTTCAGATTTCCTGCATTTGGCACTAAAACTGACATTTAAATTTTTTTCAGCTAATTAAACATTCATTGGGTGAACATAGGTTTCATGTGTCATATTCTACCATCCTGAAGGGTAGAGTTTACCCGACAGCTAGCAGTTATCTAGGATTCTCTATGCCCTTCAAATAGCGCTCCTTAAAACGTTCATTTTTTTCTATACGCCATATATTTGGAACAGTCAAGTAAAATGACTGGGACAGAGACAGAGATCTTAAATCTCTGGATTGCTGTCACTTTGACAAAATAAGCTAGATATTTTCATCTTATTGCTGTAGAGACATAATACTACATCAGGAGGCTGAGATGAAGACAGACAGACAGAAGAAAGAAAAAAAAGAGAAAGAGAAAGAAAGGAAGGAAGGAGAAAGAAAGAAAGAGAGGGAGAGAGAGAGAAAGAAAGAGAAATACAGAGGGAGGGAGGAAGGAAGAGGGGGGGGGAGTGAGGGAGGAAGGAAGAAAGAGAAAGAGAGAGAGGGGAAGAGAAGGAGAGCGAGAGGGAAGGAGGGAGGGAGGGCAATATAGAAGAAATACACTTTAAGCATAATTAGAAAGGGCCAGGGCTTTACAGTTGAGTCTCAGAGGAAATAATTTTATAGGATATTTAATGAGTTGTCCATAAGCGTGTTATGCACTCCACGAAGCACATATATGTATTTCAGTACCTAGCGTCTAGTCCAAGCTCGTTTGAGAGTTTATTGACTGACTCTAGAAGACCTAATGCCTACAAATGTCTTCCTCAGTTTCCTGCCTTCAAAAATTAAAAACTAGGAAGAAAGTTTTAGAATGTCACAAGCATAAAGACAACAAGCTGTCATGTATTTTATCCTTTGATCTTGATAACTATGCAAACTGATTCACAAATCTGGATTTATTTCTTTAGAAAGTGATCAATTTTCACATCATTTCAAAGATGGCATTTACAGATTACATGAGTAATAACGGAATTTTGCAAACCAAATTGAAGGTACACAGGTGCGTGTTGAAGGTTTACTGGTGTGTCAAGTTCATTTGTTTATTCAGTTCCCCAGAGTCAGCTGCTAACTCCATTCAGTGCAATGTATCTTAAATAATTTAAGAGACACTTAAGGGCTTCTGAACTGTATCTACACACTCCTATTTCCCTCACAAGACATATATACCTTAAAGCTCTGTACATAGTTCAATAAATATTCTGGATTTGATTTTCATTAACCCTTTGTTCTGTTCAAGGATGGTAAATCTTTTCCTCTTAGACTGTTCATTTGTTACTTCATACAGTGTGTAATATGTCTACACTTTAGTCCATGTCTAAATATATTAATGATTCAGTCTTGTTTTGCTAATTCGATCATTTTTCAAATGCATTTATTTCTACTCTGTGTCATTGACAAAGGACTTGAGAAATATATTTAGATATGCACTCTCTCCCCCTCTGGAAGTATAATCCAGATACCACCTCATCTACTGTTCCATTTCCTGTAAAGAAATCCTTGGTCCAACAGTTAACAATAATATTTTCAATTTTATCAATGAAAATAAACAGAATGAACAACCTTAGTAGCTGCCTGACCATTCACGAGAGAATCATAAAGATATTTTTGAACAAACATCTTGATAGTTACATAATTTTGTTCACAATCAGGACGGCTTTTACTTATAAGCTGACAGCAAAATGTCCAGAGGTATTCTAGTTAACTTGGCTCTTGGAAAGAAAAAGAAAAAGCCTTGACTTGTAGGATTTCCCAGTCACTGTGGCATAAATACCCCCACCCCTGATGACTGATAGATGGCTTTATTGAAATTGTTTCACCAAATGAATATTTACATATGAAGCTCTCCCCCCACCCCCAACACATCATTCTATACAAATATATATACTTTGAATCGCTCTCTTACTACTCAGAAGGACGGAGAGAAACAGTTGTTTTCTGGGTGTGATATAGACAGGATCACTTCTTGGTCAGAGCGGCACACCTGAGAAGAGAAAACGGAACCAGCCAACCGCGATCCTCTTCTTCAGGACAAACTGAGGTTGAAATGTCACCTTTTTTTGACCAAAGCGGAAACTCCAACCACTTGAGTGTTTCTCCTAAGAAGGATTATGACCATGGTGAACTCCACTGGGCAAAAAATCCCACAAATTATAAATACAAAGCTTTCCCCAAAATGTTACCATGGCAACCACCATTGTGGTTACCCATGGTAACCATAAAACTGTGGCATCCAGGCTGAGCGGTCCACCAACCAATTGTCCAAAATGGAGATCGAATACGGTGTTTTAAATTTTTCTACTTCTCCATGTGAGGCCAGTAGGATTACGAAGCTTTCCTTAGCATTAACTCAATCTGGGAAAACTTTAGTCTCCGTGCAATATCCAGCGAAGTCTCGCCACGCTGTGGAGAAAAAGAAAGCACGGTCATTTATCTCCAATGCAAAAGTTCTAGTAAACAGTCCAGACCGCTGACTCACGGGCTTGGCAAAGGCTTTAAAGGTCATTTGGTTCTAACAGTAATAGGATAACGTAATTCCTTAATGAGGACAACTAGCTTTGCTGTTAACAACAGCAGGGGCAATTAACTCACTCCAACACACAGCCGCAGTTAGAAGATAATGTTGCTGGAAGGACGTCGGACCACGTCCACAGATTCTTACCTTATTCTTTATCATGGGGTCTGCATGAGCTTCAAGGAGCAGAGGGATGAGATTCTGGTTTTTCATTTCACAGGCGTAATGTAGTGCCGTGCAGCCATACTGAAACATAAAGGACCAACAGTGAGCTCATCGTTGGGCTCTACGGACCCAACAGGTGGCTTCTTCAGCAAGCACTACTCCTATCTTAGGATGTGTCGGGGCGCCTGGGTGGCTCAGTCGGTCAAGCATCCAACTTCAGCTCAGGTCAAGATCTCACGGTTCATGGGTTCGAGCTCCGTGTTGGTCTCTGTGCTGACAATGCTGAGCCAGCTTGGGATTCTCTCTCTCCCTCTCTCTCTGCCTCTCTCTCTGCCCCACCACACTTGTGCTCTGTCTCCTTCTCTCTCTCAAAAATAAATAAACATTAAAAAATATTTTTTAAGTGACAAGCCTGGGTTTACTCATAGGCACTTAGACTCCAGTGTCTTAACCACTGAGGATGGAAATTTGTTAGCAGAACCTCCATTTCCCGTGACTTCTCACCAAAGGTGGGGCAGTACTTTTAAAAATGTCTTCTAGTCCGGGCACCTGGGTGGCTCAGTCATTTGAACATCAGACTCTTGATTTCAATTCAGGTCAGGATCTCATGGTTGTTGGGATCGAGTCCTGCATTAGGCATGATGGCATGGAGCCTGCCTGGGATGCTCTCTCCCTCCCTCTTTCTCTCTCTCTCTCTCTCTGTGCCTCTGCCACTCATGCTCCCCCTCTGTCTCAAAATAAATTAAAAACATTTTTAAAAAATTCTAAAACTGTCCTCCAGTCAATAAAGGTCCCCATGAGTTTAGGCAGCATCTAACCAACTCCTAGCTCACCTGACTAGCAGTGAAAACAGAAAGAAGGAAAAATGAAATGCAAAGAAAGACAAGGAAAATGTAGACATGTCTAGGAAAACAAAGCAAGTAACTTTGTAGGTGACAAATGCTCGGCCTGCAAATACCATTCTGAGTGTCATTTCAAGATGACTAAATGCACGAACTTACACAGTCAGTAGCATTCACTTCGATGCCAGCATCAAGTAGCATTCGAACAAGAGCCTCGTTCTGCTTGGTCTTTGACACCTGTTACAAACAGCAAGTTAAGAGGAGGTTCATTGACAAATACTTTCTCCATCGTGGGCCTGGACCATTCTACTCAACAGGGTTTACGTTAATCCCGACACCTCTATGCCTCTATGCATCTTTCTTAAAACCTCCCCCACTTCCTCACCCCCTCCAGGACCAATCAGGTAAAGCCGTGGTGCTCAGCGTGTGGTCCTGGAACAGCAGTGCGGGCACCTACGAACTTAGAAATGCCCACGCCAGACCTGCCAAATCCTACTGAGGTTGGGGCGCAGGGACCAGACTTTCCCTCCCTGGCTCAGAGCCCACTAGACTGTCCCGTGCTCTGAGGGCACAGGCAAACTCCCCAGCCTGTCCTGTAGGGCCCCGTTTGTTTGGGCCTCCACCTCTGGTCCTTGCTCACGCTGTACCTCCCAGGTCACCCCGTGCTAGCCACACTGGCCTCTACTAGTCGTTTAGCCTCCCCAGTTGCTCTAGATGTTCCTTCCGCCCAAAGACTCTTCTTGTCTTCTTTGCCTGGTAAATCTATTTTTTTAAAAATGTTTTTAATTTTGTTTCAGAGAGAGAGAGAGACAGAGAGACTATAAGCAGGGAGAGGGGCAGAAGGAGAAAGAGAGAATCCCAAGCAGGCTCCACGCTCAGCACGGAGCCCAACACAGGGCTCGATCTCACAGCCCTGGGATCATGACCTGAGCCAAAATCAAGAGTTGGACATTTAATCAAACGAGCCACCCAGGAGCCCTGTTTTAATTTATTTTATTTTATTTTTAAAATGCATGTTTAGTATCCCAGCCCAAGCTCCTCTTCCTCCAGGAGGCTTTCCCTGACCTACCTGGTGAGCTGAAATCTTTCTTTGAGCTCTCATTTCATTGATCACCTCCCTGGAGTACCTACTTCATAGTAATTTGAAGTGTGTTTCTGCCATATTTCATTACTGGTCCATTCTTCACCGCTCTCTAATGAACTCTTACAAGGACAGGACTACACCTTCTGGGTTCATCCCTCACACCCAGCACAGTGCCTGCACATAGTAGGTCCTCAGCAAGTATGTGCTGGGGGGTAAAACGAAGAAATGAAATGAACCAAGCTCCTCAAAAATCCACTTTTCCTACCCAGTCCTCTGAGACTTTGACCACAGGACAGTTTGGGCATCCCCCCAACATCCCATTGCTAGGGAGCACAGCTGTCCCAGCAGTCCCCGAGGTGAGCCCCTTGGCCATACAGAAAGCCCCACCCCGTCTTCTTCCTGTCCACATCTACACTGCCTTTCTCAGAAGTGACACAGTCCTTCCTGGTCCCTTCCTCTGAAATTTCCTCTCCAGTCACTTATGCCATATGCATCTCAACTGTACAGATTCAGGCCCCATGAACAAGTAGGAAAATGTGCATTAAGAGGGGGTGATTCATCACAATTAGTGTTTCTGCCAAGGCCTCCAGCTTTTGAACCTCCAATCATCTTAGAAAGCAGCATTGTGACTCAACAAATTCTGAATGACTCTTGCTAATCATCCTTGCGATCATTTTGAAAATGAATGGAAGATCCCTCACCACCCCTGAAACTACAAATGCCATGTACTAAACACACAATTACTTTTTCAAGAACTTTTCCAGGGTATAAACAGAGTATGTGTTTATCAGTGACTTACAGTTTTCTTTTCCCCATAAATCCAAGCCTCCAAATCAACTCTATCATATCTAATTAGAGTCCCTCAATTTCTGTAACAGATACACAAGGAGCTAATAATGACACTTCCATCTGGCAGGTTGTGTCCTGGAACTCATGTCAGCAAAGTCAACTACCACTCACGGTCTATTAGCTGTAAGGAGAAGGGAGCTTGGTCATTTAATTGGAGTAAGTGACATAGGTGTTGAGTCATCTCTCAAAGGTGGAACCGGCCCCTGGGGAACCAGATGGAAAAAAGGGAATGAGTCATGAGTCAGTACAGAGCTGTTGTTCTTTGGGGGAAACAAAAGGGGCGGGCACACGGGTGGCTCGGTCGATGAAGCGTCTGACTCTTGATTTCAGCTCAGGTCATGATCTCACGGCACGTGGGTTCGAGCCCCACATGGGGTTCTGTGCTGACACGAAGCCTGCTTGGGATTGTCTCTCTCTCACTACCTCTCCCCTGCTCTCATTCTCTTTCTCCCTCCCTCTCAAAATAAATAAATATTTTTTAAAAAAAAAAGGAAGTACATTTTTAGAATGCAAACCAAGAGCTTATTTTTGTTACTATTTCTTTGCATACGACTGGCCCAGCCAAACTTGATGAGTCATGCTTTTGTCTCCTCCCCGTTCAGCCTCTGATCACAGGCACGTTGTACTCACCATGAGGAAATACCCAATAAGGAGAACAGGCATTAAGAGGATAATGAGGAGGTAATCAAAGAAGGTAAATTTTTTCTTCACAGCATAATGCAAGCAGTTTCTCTGTTTCTGAAAATTAAGAAAAGGATTTGCTGTTAATATTAGTCTCAAATTTCATAGTTTCAGATCACTGTAACAAGAAGTTTTGTTTGTGGGGCGCCTGGTTGGCTCAGTCGGTAGAGAATATGACTCTTGATCTCAGGGTTATGAGTCTGAGCCCCACGTTGGGCAGTGGAGCTCACTTAAAAAAAATTTTAAGTAATTAAAATTATTTGTGAGAGAGAGGGTGCAAGCAGGAGAGGGGCCAGGGGCAGGGGCCAGAAGATCCCAAGCAGTCTCTGCACTGACAGCAGTGAGCCCGATGCAGTTAGTCTCACTGACTAACCGTGAGATCACGACCTGAGCCGAAGTCAGATGCTCAACCCACTGAGCCCCCCACCCAGGTGCCCCAAGACTCATTATTTTTTTAAAAGTTTAGTTTGTGCTTTTTATTTTTATGGTACCCATGGCACCTCTTTCTGTGGAATGTGTCTGATTAATAAAGCCAGGTTTCCATTGACCAGAATGTGGGACATAGTACAGTCTGAAAAACCAGCCGGGGTGGGGGAGGGGACACAGAAAGACAACAGGTGAGAAGCACAGTTTACAAATCATCACAAGATAGATTCTCAACTTAACAGAAGACCGTGGCAGAAGGGAAGGGGAAAAAAATAGAAACAGAGAGAGAAGGAGGCAAACCACAAGAGACTCTTAAATACAGAGAACAAATTGAGGGTGGAAAGGGGTGTGGGGGAGAGGGGAAAATGGGTGATGGGTATTGAGGAGGGCACTTGTTGGGATGAGCAATGGGTGTTCTATAAGCGCCAATTTGACAATTATATTTTAGAAAATGATAGATTCTCATATGCATGTTTTGGGGAGAAATACATTGTGATACAAACATAAGACTGATTTCCATGTGAAAAGCTATAGTTAACCCTGAACCATCTAGAGTGTACAATTATTCATTCTGTGGTTTGTTTACCGGGAAATCTTAACCACGTGGTGTATTTCCACCGTTCCTATGGGCATACAGGCAGTGCTGGAAGAATGGAAATAAGGCAGTGTAATTCTTCGCATATGTTAGCATGTGTCAGGTTGATAGACTTAAGCTTCTGGGGGTCGTGGGGGACATAAAGCCTCAGGGCCTCATAATCAAAGGTAGACAGGAATCAACACAATAAATATAACACAGAACAAGCGATGGTGATTGAAGTCCCAACCAAATCAATGAGAACAGAGAGAAAAAGAGAAGAGACAGGTTAATTTCCACTTGGGGGTGGAGACAATGTTCCTAAATAAGAATACATTTTGGGTTTTTCTTGATATTAAGATAGATCTGTTCACTGTACAAATTTTGTAAACTAGACATGGATGAAATGACAGAATTTAAAATTGCCCATTATCAAACGGCCCAGGAAGAATGGTTGACATTTTGGCTGTATTTTCTTCCAGTCTTTTAAAATTTGTATGTGGAATTTTAAAATGTAGGACCATGCTGCATGCACAAAATCTGATCTCTTTCCTTTTCGATTAAAATTTAGACTACGTGCATTTTTTCATGCCATTGAAAAACTTTAAACATAGGCCTATAATGGCTGCCTGACTTTCTATTGAATGCAGCTATTCTAATTTATTTTAACCAAACTCTATCTGTTGGACATTCCAAGTTTTTAACTTTGTATTTGCATACATTATACTGCTTGAACATTTTCATTCATGAAGTTTGTCAACATTTCCAAATTTGGCCTTAGCAAAAGTTTATAAAAGCATAATTGCTGACATGAAATGTATGAATGTTTTTCATATTCTGCTAAATATTGCTCCGAGAAAATCATAACAATTTAAACTTCCTTCCTGGGGTGCCTGGGTGGCTCAGTTGTTTGGGCCTCCGACTTTGGCTCAGGTCATGACCTCTCAGTCTGTGAGTTCAAACCCAAGTCTGGCTCTGTGCTGACAGCTCAAAGCCTAGAGCCTGCTTCAGATTCTATGTCTTTCTCTCTCTCTGCTCCTTCCCTGCTTGTGCTCACTTGCTTGCTCTCTCTTTCTCTCTTTCAAAAATAAACATTAAAAATGTTTAAACTTCTTTCCTGATCAATACTTGATTTTCTTTTTTAATCCTGGTCAAGCTGACAGACCAAAATAAAAAGGCATATTTATGTTTTAATTTAATGTGTTCTGCATAGACTTAATGTTCTCTATTAGGCATGTGCATGTGAATTACGCACAGACGTTTTTATTTTATTTCAAGGCCTTTATATATTTCTGAAAATGACTTATACACATAGATTTAAGATATGAGGGATGCCTCGGTGGCTCAGTCGGTTAAGCATCCGACTTTGGCTCAGATCATGATCTCACGGTTTGTGGGTTCGGGCCCCGCGTCGGGCTCTGTGCTGACAGCTCAGAGCCTGGAGCCTGTTTTGGACTCTGTGTCTCCCTCTCTCTCTGACCCTCCCCTGCTCATGCTGTCGCTGTCTCTCTCTCTCTCAGAAATAAAAAAGTAAATAAAAACATTTAAAAAAATTTTTTAAAGATATGAGAAGGCACTGGTTAAATTATTAATGCACAAAGATTCATGCTTGGGAAAGATTAAATATTTAAAAATCATTAAAAATGCTTTAAGAATAAAAAATGCAAACTGAACCCTTCTTCTGATAAAATCCCTATTTATCTAAGTATCCCTACGGTCCTTCTGCAGAGGTTCCTGGTACCAGAGGATGCCAACAGCCTGGCTGAGATTCTCACCGTCTCGGTCCCATCCCTGTGCCATTCAACATCTCCATCCCTCAGCTCCCAAATGAGCCCATCCCCCAGACAGAGGATGTGCACCCACAGACACCTGCCTCACCACGCCCACTCGCCACAAGCACACACACTTGGCCCTCCAGCTGTGTTCAGGGGAGACAGTGTCACAGTCCGCTAAGCTGCATCACTGTCGCACTTGGTGCAGGCATGCCTTGCTTTCAAGCTCAACCAAGCAAAAAATAGTACAAACAAGAATTTCCAGTAGTGATCCACTTTCTGATAATACGTGATTGCTCCAATGGACCTGGTCTTGATACTGACTCAGAAGGGGGCAAGTGGGGCCTTACAGGCTGTTTTTCCTCACTGAGTGTAAGTGGAAACAGGGCACTCAGAATACAAATAATGACTTTTTATATTTACTCAGTGTACTTTAAATGTTATCTTTACTCGGATGCAGACACTGGCTGTTCGAAGGTGTTCGGAAGGAAGTTCACAGCGATGCACATACAGTCTGCTATTCCTTGATTCTGAGAGTTGCATCAGCAACACTGCATCCTTACCTACAGTCTTTCTGCCTCTCTGTGTGGCTTCAGGGAGCCTCTGGCTCATGACCTTGTTTGTCCTTGGCAAATATCTAACTGGCCTTCTTTAATCCTATAAGCGAACTGTAGGATCTTCCGGAGAATATTGACCCAGTAGGTAAAAACCTAATGAAATAGCACCACCAGGTCAGTATTTTTTTTTTTTCAGGAAATCTTTCCCATCCCTTCTGGAATCATGAGGAGGAGGAGCAGGAAGAGGGAAGCAGGAAGGTAGGGAAAAGCATGGGGAGGAAGAGGAAGAGAAAGGAAAACCTCTAACTAGTCAAATGAATGGACCCTTCTTTTCAGAAGTACAAGGACATAATTAACAACAAAATATGCCTGCTGTTTGAACTATGATTTATTTGGCTTTTCAGCCTAGAATAGTATGTGTCAGTCCCTTTAAAGTAAAGCAAAAAAATATATATTATCAGGAGCTACAGGCCACGAGAAAATGGCATCCACCACCTCTATTGCTGTAAGCAGAAAAGATTGCTACAGTCAATTGCTCTGCCCACTCATGTGTGATGGCCTCACCTGGTTTTTGAGGTTCACATCAGCATTTCTTTTTAAAAGGAAGGAAATGATTCTCAGGTGCCCCCGCCGGCAAGCACAGATCAGGGGAGTGTCTCCATTGAAGCCATCCTGCACATTGATGCAGCTGCTGTCCTCTCTCACCCAGCGCCACACTTGACCGAAGTCATTCTGGTAGGCCGCCTGGCAGATGGGCTGCGAGGGGAAGAACAAAAGCAGATCTTGAAATACAGGTATAATGCAAACCCCATAAGAGAGAAATCACCACCCGATAACTGAAAACTCCAGTCTCTCCAAATTGTAATACAAGTAAAACTTTGGTTTGCGAGCATAATTCATTCCAGAAACATGCTTGTCATCCAAGGCGCTTGTACATCAAAGCAAATTTTAAGACCCATTGGCTCAGTTGGGACCATGTGACATTCAGCATCATGTACCACTCGTATTACAAGACATCGCTCATTTATCAAGTTAGAATTTATTAGAAATGTTTGCTTGTCTTGCGGAACATTCATAGAACAAGTTATCCACAATCCAAGGTTTTACTGTGTATTGCTTTTTGGATGAGATATTTGGTCTCCATTATGCCAAGCCTTAAATCTGGAACGAGCCTAAGTCCATGATGAACCCCTCAACAATTTCCTAAATTGCTTGACATACAGATGTGTTCACGGAATGAGTGAATAAATGGAAGCGATATTGCAGATTCAACTCCGCAGGGAAGGCTGTGCTCACGGAAGGATGATGTCTGTCAGAAAAGCAGGATTTCACTGAATACAGAAGAGGCACATCAGAGGAACGTAGGGGAGCACTGGGTGATAAAATAAAGACATATGGCTCCCTGTGCTCAAGGAAACCAGCCCTCTGGAAAAGACCCATTTTAGACAGATAATATATAAATAACAAATGACATCGTTAACTGGATTCAGTGCTTTTTATTTAGAAAGTGTCAAAAGGGGCTTTGCAAAGCATGATGGGAGCTTAACAGCAAGACCTAAGCCGACCTCCCCTTGCCCACTTTCCCCACCTGCTCCACTTTCCTTCTGGACCTCATACCTCTGTTTTCATACCTCATGTTTGGTTTCTTCCATCTGGACCCCGTCACTTAACTGCCTCCTCTGCACAAAACACCTTTTCCCTCTCTGCTCACCTAGCTGCCTGCTGACCCGTCCTTCGTGTCATCACTTAATTTTTACTTTATTGGGTCTTTCCCGACTCCAGCACTGCTTCACAGCAACTGGCGTAACTGTCCACTCTTGTCTTGATTACTTATAATCACGTGGTGCAGGCCAGCACGAATCGGGAGGGGTTCAGGCAGCAGCAGTCAGTGCGGGAAGGCACTGGAGTTCAGGATGTCAGCGTCATGTGGAGAGAGGTTATATCATTCCATTTAATATCTGAATTTATTCAATTCATACCTCCAGTATGCAACACAGCAATGGCACGTGGTAGGCAAATACTAAATATTCTTGGACTGATTTTAATTAGAGAGTATGAAACAAAAAGCACTTGGAATAAAACCTGGCACTGGCATAGATGGTTGTTAATTTATGGAAATTATTATTACTGCTTATTCAGTCATTCTGTAATTTGGTAACAAGGTCAGACTTCAGCTGTGTGGCAGCCACAGTTGCTGGGCACAGGTGTACAAAATACTCTTAACCATGTGAAATGTGCTTACCAGTTGGGAATATAGCATAAGCACACACACACACACACACACACACACACACTTACCAATAAGAAAACCATGTTAAAGAAGCATAGATTTGGGTAATAAGCATGAATGAGAAAGCGGAGTGACACCTTTGCTGATAGATTCATGTTTCTAACATAGCCAAATATCATAATCAGGGAACTTTTAAAAGTAAGATACTTTTTTTAAAAGTTTATTTATTTTTGAGAGAGCACATATGTGCACAAGCAGGGGAGGGGCAGAGAGAGAGGGAGGCAGAATTCCAAGCAAGCTCCACACTGTCAGCACAGAGCCCCCCGATACGGGGCTTGAACTCATGAACTGTGAGATCATGACCTGAGCCGAAATTAAGAGCTGGATGCTTAACTGATTGAGCCGCCCAGGCGCCCTAAAATTAAGATACTTTTAAACCCAAGGCCCTACTCATGAGAGAAACATCGCAGAGGAAAGTCAGCTCCATAGTAGATAAGAGACAAACTGTTGTGGCCCGAAAGGACACGGGCATGAGACTGGGGTCCCAAATGCAGTAGAAATGCACAATCACACAAATCCCCCTTCTGCTACCTGAAGTCACCCCTTGCCTAGGCCTTGTCACCAGCTGGACTTAGCAGTGGCTCTGGATTCTGTAGGGCTGATGTGCAAATGACCAGAGCATTGGAAAGGGCACATATCTGCTGTCAGCAAACTGGTGTATAGTCGTGGTTCTGCAACTAATTGCCTGATGACCATGGACAAATCTCTCCCCCTCGTGTGTCTTGGTGTCCTCAGTCATGAAGCAAAAAAAAAAAAAAAGAAACAAAATTCCTTTTTGTTATCACACCCTGTGACTGTCACCCTCAAGTCTCTCTCCAGCTAATGCACCGGCCCCATCAACTTCATGTCACGTCATGGAGTGGTCCTTTCGAAGCACAAATACTGCTCAAAAACATTCAGTCTTTAACTTAGCAGCAGCACCCAGTCACTTAGATTAAATAAAAAACAAAATGGAACGAAAGGCAACAGGCAATGTTTAGTCGCAAACTCTTAATTTTGCCAGTTGAATGCATGAGGAACAGCAGCAGCATTTAGTAAAATAAAAGATGTTTTAACATAAATGTAAGGACAAAACAAAACTGTTTTAACAAAATTTCTAAGGACACAATCACAGAAGAGGAAAAAAAGCCACCGTTTATATGAGATGGATTTTGCTATATGGAAAAATCTGTCTTTTTTTTCTTCTTTTTTAAATTTTACTGTAAATCGGCTAAAATTTGCCACAGATAACTACTCATCATTTATAGGACCAGCATTTGGTAGCTGGTTACCCATAGTCCAGCATACAGAACTTGAAAGCAGGTGGCTATAATTTTCCTTTCTTAAGATTTTAAATTACAACGTTAAAAATACTGGAATATTTCACGCAGTCATCAAGCTTCTCAGCCTCTTTTAATTAATAAAACATTTAAAGCTTTGACAGTGCTGAGCCCACATTCCCACTGGACACCAAATAAAACTCCCCCTGCATGGGGTCCTCAAATGTCTTTACTGAGAGTCAACAGAAAGGAGGAAGGGAAAAGTAGACAGTTTGCTTCAAGAGACACCCAGCGCATCTGAATTCTTCCTTAATCCTATTCAAGTAACCATCTTTAAAATACTAACTTGATTTTATCTTTTAATGTTTCCTAAGCTACCCATATCCCAGGCACAGAGTCCCTGCATTTGAGAAGAAAAGTGTCGTCCTGGTTCAGGGCACACAAGTAAGTGGCTGGTGGAGGGAACCACAGTAAAGGTTCTGCGCAGTTGTAAACTCCCAGTCTCCAGCAGGGGGCAGCTTAGAGTCATGAAAGCACTGACCAGGACCAAAGGGAAGGCCAATAGAGAACCTAGGGCCCAGAAAGAGGAAGAGACTGTCCATTTGCATTGAGGGAAGAGTTATCATGAATTCTGTTGGTCTCTGAAGTTTCTGGAACTTGGGGAATTCTGGGTGAGGAAGAAACCAGCGGAGAACTTGGGAAATTGTCATGGTACTTCTATCCCCTGGTGCCCTTCTGTCCATTCTCACTGGCAAATCACTAGTTCAGATCTTTGTCGTTCTCATCAGGACTGTTGCAAGACCAGTGGATAACTGACCTTGCTTCCTCCTGTCTCCCCTTTCCAGCCCCCAGTCCATCCGCCAAAGGCTGCAGCTTCCTGTCCTTGCCCTGCTGAAAACTTTGGTCACTTAATGACCAACTGGGTTAGGATGCTGTCCTCCAGCTGACATGTGATTCTTCAGATCCCACAAATCCTGTCTTTTCAACTTCCACCTCTCACCACCGCCTCATCTGTACCCTCGATCTAAGTAAAGAAAGGCTCGAGTATTACTAACAGCTATCTCCCCAGCTAGACTGTAAGCTACATGAGAGCAGAAACTGTGTCTGCACTAGAACACTCTGTCACAGCAGCCAGCATATGCCTGACACATAGTAGGCATTCAATGTCTTTTTGGTAAATAAGTAAGTGAATGAGTGAGCTGTAATATGAGCTAACTTTTACTGAGTACTTCAGCTAGCTCATTTAACCCTCACACAAGCCTCTGACCAAAAATAATGGGTATTATTATGCCTATTTTGTATTGGTGAAACTGAGGGAGATTGTATTTCTCGCCCATAGTCACACAGCTCATTAGTGGCCTTGCCAGGAAGGATATTAAGGGGATGACTGCAGAATGCATCCATTCTTCTGGCTCTAATTACTTCAGGCAGTTTGAAAAACAGCCTTCAGAAGGTCTTCCGGTTATAAGACTTTGCATTTGAGATTACCTTTTGTTCAACGTGCACCCCAATTAAGCTACAGTCTACACTCTCAGCACACTGGTCTGTCCTCTTTCTACCCTGGCCAGCTGGTGTCCAAGCCTTCCTGGTTACGTATCCAGATTCTTCTCCAAACTGACCTAGATTTGGCAGTATTTGCCAAGAGGTAAAGAAGTAATGGTCAGAGAGGTTGCAGGAAAGACCAGAAAAAGATATGGTTCAGATGCTAAGAAGGAAAAGTTTCAAGAAGGAAGATGGACTGAAGGGTATGAAGTGTCAAGAAAGACTGGATTTGATCATGAATGACTATGCGAAGACCCACGTTCATAGAGTGAGGGGGCAGGAAACAGAACACAGAGGCCTGAGCATATGGCCTACAAGGAATCAGAGGGTGTGACTGGAGAAGAATCATGGTCACTTTGGCTGTGAAAGCCAAGAGGGAGCTCCTGGCACGCAGAGGAGGCAATACGGTCGAGTCCTCATTCCATGCATCTGAAGGCATAGTGTTGTCACGTGGTCAGAAACACAGGCTCTGGAAAGAGACTTTGGGTTCCAATCTCAATTCCACCACTTAAGAGTAGTGTTCGTTGGACACCTTACTTAGACTCTTTGTGCTTTGTTCTCTTCTAGATTTAATAATCATGTCTTCTTGGGGCACCTGGGTAGCTCAGTTGGTTAAGCATCCAACACTTGGTTTCGGCTCAGGTCATGATCTCATGGTTTGTGGG